TGGGAGGCGCCGGCCGCCGCGCCGCGGTGGGGGCCGGGGGCCTCTCGCGGGCCTCGGTTTCGCCGCCTGCTCGGTGACCGCAGAGGCCTCGAGGAGTCCGAGCACCCTCCGTGCTCGCGCGGGAGGCTTCCGCAGCCTCCGGGCTGAATTCCCAGCGTCCCCAGGGCAGCCCGACCCTGTCCCCCGGCTGCTGCAGGGGGAGTGACCCCGGGAGTGGTTCTGGAGCCGGGTCCGCGGGGGCAAGGGCCCCGGGAGTGTGTGCGTGGCGGGTGGTGGCCGCGAGACGTGGGTCCTCGCGCTCCTGCGGCTGGCCTCAGTTTTCTCATATGTGAGATGCGTCCTAAGACTGTCGCCGCAGCAAATGCACATGGCAGGCGCCCAGGAGCTGGCAGATCACACACTGAGCCCTCCGTATCCGCAGGTTCCCGAAGATACTAGGGACTGGGCTGGCCGCCAGACTCGGTGGGTCAGAACCGGTGTGATAATACCAAGGTCCGGGGTTCAATCCCCGTACTGGCCAGGCGCCCCCAAAAAACAACTCTGGGAAAAAGCAATAAAAAGTAGTACAATAAAAGATGATACGAATTAAAACAACACCATGTAACAACTGCCTACGTAGCGTTCACACCGCATTAGGCACCGTCAGTACAGCAGTGGAGACGTGATTTAAAGTCTGTGGCAGGATGTGCCTGGGTTCTTTGCAGATGCTGCAGCCGCTTTATCTACCAAAGTGGAGCATCTGTGCATTTTGGCACCTACGGAAGTGCCGGAGCCACGGATGACTGTGGACTTCCGCTTAGTGTCAACTCTCCCTGGTCTGTTCATTTATTTGTTTGGTCGTGCTCCTCCTGCCCCCAAGGAAAGCTCCAGAAGAGACGCGTCCATCCGTTTCGGCCCATACTGTTCAGGGCTGTCCCACCCTGGCCGGTGCACAGTAGGTCGCACGGCTGTCATATGCACAACCATCCCTAGTAGAGGTGGAGGAGGTCTCGTGTCCCCATTTTACAGGAGAGAAGACTGAGGACCGGGTGGAGAATGACCCGTACAAAGTCTTACGGAGCAGGTGGCAGGGGAAAGCTCTTTCGCCACACTGTGTTCTCCGGGGCCACCAAGGAACTCTCACACCGGTGACCTAAGGTGTCGGACGTACAGGCCTTTGGGCCAGATGCCGCCTGTCAGCCCAGTCCCCGGAAGGAACGTGGGCCCGGCCAGCTTTCTCCACACCGGAGGCTCATATTACAAGCGCACACGCGTCACCACCAGCCCTGGAGGACGGCCAGTCACCGCCCGTCGCGGGCTCGGAATGCAGCGCTGCGCCTTTAAAGTAGCAGCGCCGCGGTGGGTCCCGCCCACGAGGGCGTGTCAGGGGCGGGGCACGCAGTGGGCGGGGCGTGGGCGGGACGACGAGCACCGATTGGCGCCCGGGCCTGCCTGTCTGCGTGCCGCCGGGGTCAGCGCCCGCCCTCGGGGCCTCAGCGTCTGGATCTCGGGTTCTGCACGTTCCATTCCCAGGCGGGTTCCGGGTTCCGGGGCCCGGCGGACCCGTTGAGTGCTCCGGTCGGGTGCTGACGCCGCGACGCAGGTACCGCTGGAGCGCGGCGGGGACCCCGGGGACACCCACCCGGACGTGGCGCGCGTTCCGGACGCAGACCGGGGGCGTGGCCCACGGTCAAGGCCGAGAAGGAGGGTAGGGCTTGGGGCTCTAAGGCCGGAGTTCGAATCCCGACCCTGCCTCTCCAGTCTTGGGGACTTCACTTGGTCAGGTCCTCGGTGTCCCGTCGCCTGTGAGCCGGGCCGTAACAGGCCCACCTAGCGGCTGCTGTGCGGCCTGCTCAGCCCTGGCCCAGGGCAGGCGGGTGGGGCGGAGGAAGGAAGGACAGGCGGCACCCAGGGCCTGGCCAGAGAGTCCTCTCCCTTCCCTGAGTTGGGAGGCCATGGGTTGGAGCCTTCGCCACCCTGCCAGAGTCGGAGCTGAGTCCCAGTGTAGACAGGTGGGAGGTATTTAAAACCCTTTACACTTTGCAAGGTGGATTTCTGGTCCCGCTGGGGGCGGGGCCAGTGGCAGTATTGAGCCCCATGTCACTGATGAGGAAGCTGAAACTGCTCTGGGGCCACGGTGGGTCACCCGCTGGCCTATGAACCTCCCCAAGCCAGAGCCCGGTCTTATTTTTAGTCTGGGGCGGATGGGCAGGTGTCCTGGGCTGAGTCACACAGTGCTTCAGGCTTCAGCTACTCTAGGCATCTTGTCATCAGGCAACTTGGCTGCGGCAGGCGCAGCCAAGCAGGGAGGACAGGAGTCCTTGATTGCCCCGGCAGGCTGCGACCTCATGGTCATCTGCTCTGGCCTCCCCAGCAAGGGGTCTGCCTAGTGTCTGCAAGGTGCTCCCAGCTTGTCCCGGGGTCACTCATCCCCTTCTGCTGTCAGAGCCTGAGGGCAGCCATCCACCTTGCAGAACCTGAGGCTGAGGCAGGCTGAGGCTTGGTGGACTGGATCCTGGAAAATACCTGCCTCCACTTCCCAAGTGCCGGTCCCCCTCAGCTGCCCACTTCAGGGCTGCTCGCTTTTTTCTTTTTTTGCTCTGGTTGGTAAGGGGATCCGAACCCTTGACCTTAGTGTTAACACTACTGTGCTTCCTTGACCTTACCAATTGAGGCCGGCCAGCCCCTCAGGGCTGATCTTTTTTTTAAAAAAAGATGACCGGTAAGGGGATCTTAACCCTTGGCTTGGTGTTGTCAGCACCACGCTCTGCTCTCCCGAGTGAGCCATGAGCGGGCCCGAGGGCTGATCATTTTTAACCCTTCCTCGCCACTCCTTGCGGCGTCTCATAGATGAGCAACAGGCTGGGGCTGCAGCCCCCATCTTACCTTTTCTGTTGCTTGGCCACCTGGCAGCTGAGGACACTCCTCCCACCCCCATTGTCCAGAGAGCCTTCTATTTGGGGTCTTCGTCTTTAGGGTCACCTTGCTTACTGCCCCAACAGCAGGGCTTTCAGCCTCAGTTGCACACCCCACTGATGGGCGCTCCCGGCCTCCCTGGGCAGGCTGGGCCCACGCACTCTGCCTGTCCTCTGACTTTGTAGCTCTGCTTCTGGGGGCTGTTCTATCAAGATTTGGGGGGTAACTAGCCCTCTAAGCTTCACTGAGGTGCCCACTGAAGGTCCATAAGGCCCCCTTGGGTGGACTGTTTGGGACCCCAAGTTGCTGGTCTTCTCTGGGCTTTAGGTTCTTCCTGAGGGGTTATCAGAGAGTGCTGTTGGGGCTGGCCGGTCAGCTCAGTTGGTTAGAGCACAGTGTTGTAACCCAAAGCCAGGGGTTTGGATCCCTGTACCAGCCAGCCACCATAAAAAAAAGAGAGTGCTGCCATGCCTGGCCCTGGTTAGAAACCAAGGGACAAGGCATCCTCCACCCTGGCCACAGGGCATGGGGAGTATTGATTGGACTCTGGGGGTGGATGAGAGTCTGGAAGCTTTGCAGTCGAGGATTCGAGACCTCACCACTTAACTGTGTGGTTTGGCAACCTGTATATAGGGGTTAAGATGATAAGACCCACCTCACAGGGTCCTGGAGGGTGGGATTAAGGGAGATAGAGCCCGTTCTCTGAACTGCCACAGCCCTTAGGCCTTTCTGTGTGAGTTCCCCTTTTCTGGGGGTAGGTTGTTTGCAGGTTCGGGGAGGGGGCTTGGCAGCTCCTTCACTTGCTCACAAGAAACCCTGCAGATGGCCCCTTTCTCATGTGAAATTCTCAGGAAACCCCCCTTGTGGGCTCAACTCTGTTACCCCAGGATGATTGCAGCCAGGGCCCCCTGCCAGCCTGGCTGCCCCACTCTAAGCTGTCCCTGCACCCTGGCTCTCTTACAGGCAGACCATGGCAGAATTCTCCCAGAAACAGGGGAAGCGGCGTGGCGACGAGGGCCTGGGCAGCGCTGTGGACTTCCTCTTGGCCAATGCCCGCCTGGTGCTGGGCGTGGGCGGGGCTGCTGTGCTGGGCATTGCCACCCTGGCCGTGAAGCGGGTGAGGCTGGGCTGGGTCGGTCACACCTGAGGCTCCCAGAGAAACGTGACAGGGCTGGGACCTGCAGAGGGGCCCCGGGAGGAGCGGTGGGGACTTCCCAGGCTGGCACTGGAGCCCAGGGCACCTGCTTCTTCACCCTAGCAACCTGGTTTGCTCTGCCCCTGGGCTTTTTGCTGTGGCTGTCCAGGCTTTGGATGCTCTGATCTGTGTCACTTTGCCTGCAGCTCATCGACAGAGCTACTAGCCCACGGGACGAGGATGATGCCAAGAGGGACAGCTGGAAGGAGCTGAGTCTGCTGAAGCCCACACCGCACCTACAGCCCCGGCCCCCGCCTGCGGCTCTCAGCCAGCCCGTGTTGCCCCTGGCCCTCTCGCTCTCTGCCCCAGGGGAGTGGCACTCCTATCCCTCTGACATGGGTAGGTCTCCCTTTGGTGGTGGGAGCGACAGCCCAGGCTCTGCTACTGACTGACTATGTGACCCTACGCAAGTCTCGCTCTCTGCCCCAGGGGAGTGGCACTCCTATCCCTCTGACATGGGTAGGTCTCTCTTTGGTGGTGGGAGCGACAGCCCAGGCTCTGCTACTGACTGACTATGTGACCCTACGCAAGTCCCTGCTCCTCTTGGGGCTTTGGGCTTCTCAGATGTTTAATGGAAATCCTGTTTCTTTGCTCGCCTGCTGGAGCAAGGTGGCACCGTTATGGTGGAGAGCCTCAAATGGGGAAACTGAGGCCTGGAAAGGGGCAGGACCTGTCTCCCCACTCTGCATGAAGCTGTTTTAGCTATAGGGCCAGGGTGTTGGGACTCTGAGACAATGAGAATTTGTCATCAAGTGCTCACTTTATGTGAGGACTTAAACTAAGTGCTTTCTCAGGTAGCCATTACAGGTGAGGAAAGTGAGGCCCAGGGATGTCACACAGCTGGTAACTGGGTAGAGTTCCCTTAACATGCTGGGGTGTTCTGACATGGCCCCTTCATTCTGCAGAGGGGCCTGCAGACGCTGCTTCTCAGACGCCACCTCAGCTCAGCTCCCCAGCACCATTGTGCCTAACGTTCCAGGAGAAGCTGCTGGCATTCGAGCGGGACCATGTGACCATCCCAGTAGCTCACGTGGCTTTGGCCAAGCAGCTGGCTGGCGACATTGCCCTTGAGCTGCAGGCCTACATGCGGAGCAAGTTCTCAGAACTGCCCTTCGGGGCGCTGGTGCCTGGCGGGCCGCTCTATGATGGGCTGCAAGCGGGGGCTGCCGACCACGTGCGTCTGCTGGTTCCGCTGGTGCTGGAGCCGGGCCTGTGGAGCCTACTGCCTGGCGTGGACACCGTGGCGAGGGACCCGCGCTGCTGGGCCGTGCGCAGGACTCAGCTTGAGTTCCTCCCCCGCGGGAGCAGCCCCTGGGACCGCTTCCTGGTGGGGGGCTACCTCTCCTCCTGCAGCCTGCTGGAGCTGCTCCGCAAGGCACTGACTGCCTCCGTCAACTGGCCGGCCATCGGCAGCCTTCTTGGGTGCCTAATCCGGCCCAATGTGGCCTCGGCGGAGCTGCTGCTCGAGGTGCAGCACGAGTACCTGGAGCTCACTTTGGCCGTGCTCGTGGTGGTCACTGGTACTGACTTCTATGACCACCACCTCCTGGCCTGGCCCCTGGAGGGGCTGGCTGGGAACCTCTGGCTGCAGGACTTGTATTTGGCAGAGGCCGCCAGGCTGCGTGACCTGGATGACCGTGATGCTGGGACCCGCCGACGGCTGCTGCTGCTGCTCTGTGCTGTCTGTCGTGGCCACCCAGCCCTGGAGAGGCTGGATCGGGGCCATCTGACCCAGGTAGTTCTGCATCTGGGGGAGGAGGATGTGGACTGGGCTGAGGAGGCCTTGGGCGAGCGCTTCCTGCAGGCCCTGGAACTGCTCATTGGCAGCCTGGAGCAGGCCAGCCTACCCTGCCACTTCAACCCCAGCATGAACCTCCTCAGCAGCTGGAGCGAAGAGGACATTGACAACATTGGCTACATGCTGTACAGTGGTCTACAGGCTCCCGAGAGCCTGCTCCAGGTGGGTGGGGATAGGTGGCCAGCACGTTTCTGATTGGTATATGTTTGGGCTATGGTCACCAGTTTCCCTGAGCCCAAAGATCTTGGGTTACTGCCACCTGAGCATGGCTGGACTGCCTCGGCAGCTTGGAGGACCAGCCACTCTCACCGGCATCCCCTCAGCACTTCGGGGCCAACCCAGGACCCTGGGCTCAGTCCATCATCACCAGCAGTGACTCCACTGATAGAACGTGGCTTTGCCGTCCTAGACAGGTTGAAGGCCAGCTCCATGTTTCTGCCAAGAGAGTGATTCACACTTTCCTCGGGCTCCAGCTCCAGGCACCTTGAGGCAACTAGTGCCTGGTAAGGATCATGTGTGTTCTGTTCCCCAGGGCTGGAGTCACCTGGTCTGTGTCTTGGCTGTTGAGGGATGGCGTCATCCCGGTGTCTGCTATGTGTGTGGCCTTGTTGAGCTCTCCTTGAGCACTGGCTCAGGAATCTGTCTTACTGCCCACCTGATACCTCAGGGGAAGGCCTCTTTCCCTCCAGCTGGGTGAGTTTTGTCTTCAGGCAGCAGAGGCCCTGGAAGAGCCCCTTCCTCACTGGGGGACCTGAGGCTCTCTGCCGCCCGCCTTGCCTCAGCCAAGGGCACACCATGTGGCTGCTTCTAGGCCCTGCTGGAGAGTGGAGGACGTGTCCCTCCTGGAGAGGCTGGTGCACAGACCTGGCCTCTGCAGCGTGCCAAAATGAGCTGCTCTCAGCTCATGTCTGTACTGTGACTTTGAAGCCTGGCAGTAGTGACGGGGTTAGGGGAGGGAGAGTCCGCCTCCCCTCACAGGGCCCCTCCTGTCTTTGGTATCTTTCCTGCTGAAACAAAGCTATGACTTGAAGAATGAACGGGAATAAAAGGAAAAAAAATCTCACATCTGTGTAACTCATGCTGGGTAAGAGTCTTGGTGCTCTCAGACGCAGCTGTCGAGAGTTTTCTTTCTTTTTTTTTTTTTTTTTAAAAGATGACCGGTAAGGGGATCTTAACCCTCGACTTGGTGTTGTCAGCACCACGCTCAGCCAGTGAGCGAACCGGCCATCCCTATATGGGATCCGAACCCGTGGCCTTGGTGTTATCAGCACCGCACTCTACCGAGTGAGCCACAGGCCGGCCCTTGTAGTAGATTTTAAAATCGGGCAATGTGATGCCTCCAGTTTTGTTCCTTTTGCTCAGTATTGCTTTGGCTGTTCAGGTCTTTTGTAGTTTCCTACGAGTTTTAGGTTTTTTGTTTGTTTGTTTTTCTTTCTATTTCTTTGGAGAACATCATTGCTATTTTGATAGGGATTGCATTGAATCTATAGATCACTTTGGGTAGTATGGTCATTTTCACAATATTAATTCTTCCAGTCCATGAACATGGGATGTCTTTCCATTTCTTTATGTCCTCTTCACTTTCTTTCATCAGTTTTTATAGGGTTTTTTGTTTTGTTTTTTGTTTGTTTGTTTTCTGTAAAGATCTTTCATTTCCGAGAGTTTTCTGAAAGTCCTGCGCTAGGCCTGACACCTTGGCAAGAGGGCTGGAGATCAACTTGGAGGTGGAAGAATTTATTTTAAAAGTAGTGTTTTAGTATGTTCAGGCTGCTATAACCAAATACCATAGACTGGGTAGCTAATAAACAGAAGTTTATTTCTCATAGGGCTGGCTGGTTAGCTCAGTTGGTTAGAGCGCTGTGTTATAACACCAAGGTCAAGGGTTCAGATCCCTGCAGCAGTCAGCTGCCAAAAAAAATATTTTTCTCAGTTTTAGAGGCTGCAAGTCCAAGATCAAGGCACCACCACATTCTGCATCTGGTGAGGGCCTACATTCTGGTTAATAGATGTCACTGTCTAGCTGTGTTCTCACATAGTGGGAGGGGGAAAGGCATATCCCCAGGGTCTCTCTTTTTTTTTTTTTTTGTCTTTTTTGTGACCGGTAAGGGGATCGCAACCCTTGGCTTGGTGTCGTCTGCACCGCACTCAGCCAGTGAGCGGGCCGGCCACCCCTATATAGGATCCGAACCCGTGGCAGGAGCGCCACTGCGCTCCCAAGCGCCGCACTCTCCCGAATGCACCACACTCTCCCGAATGCGCCACGGGGCCGGACCCCAGAGTCTCTTTTTTAAGGGCACTAAGCCCAGCCATGTGGGCTCCGCCCTCATGACCTAATCACCCTCCAAAGCCTCACTTCCTGATGACATCACATTGGGGTTAGGATTTCAACATGAGTTTTATGGGGACACAAACACTCAACCCATAACAAGTAGGTTATGTGGAAGGAGAATATTAAAAAATTCTGTGTGAGGTCTTGCTTTCGTGAAGGGAACCCCAACTAGTTAGGGTTTTGTTTCTTCTCACAAGGCTGCACTGCCAAGCCCTGAGGTGTGCCCACCCTCCTTCTGGCATCACAGACTTCAGCCATGCACCATCAGATTTCAGAGAACTGTTTTCTCCACCCTTCTTGCCTGTCCCTGTGGTCCCACAAGTGGCAGCAGTCTCAGCCTCCTTGTGCAGGCGTGAAGTAAGGGCATCTCAGTGTCTCCCAGGAGCCAAAGCCAGGGCTCACCACCTTTGTCACCACAGAGGGCAGATGAGGCCTGGGAAGGGCTTTGGGCTGTGTTCAGGGGCTGTGGCCACCCCAGCTGTGCTGTTCACATGCTGCTTCTGTCCTTCCCATGCCATTGTAGTTCTTAAGGGGACTCCCCTGCCAAGAGGAGCAGGATTATGTGGGGCAGGTAGGATGGTGGCATAGGCCTTTAGGTGCAGGATGGGGGGGAGGCCTCTTCCACGGAGGTGTTCACACGGGCTGGAAGGCTCCACAGAGGCTATAGCAGGGGTCAAAGGGCAGGAGACTGGCTTAGCTGAGGTCCACCCAATCTCTTGGTCTGGAGCTGCCCTTGGGCCTTGATGCATGGAGGCCTTTGAGCAGTTCTGGTGGTACAGGGCTGGCAAAGGAGCAGCCTGGGGAAGAGCCTGTGTGCCTCTGTCCTTGTGTCTGTAAAATGGGAATCACTTGATACCTACTTCTGGTGGCTGTGAGGGTTCACTGAGCCGGAGGCGGGAGGAGGGGGCAGGCCATGCTAAGCCAGGGCCTGGCACAGAGGAAACTGCCCCACAATGAGAGAGATTGTTGGGCCTTGCTGCCTCCCTCCTCCTTCCAACGTCACCAAGACCCTTCCTGCTGCCAGGCAAGCCCACTGGTCACAAGGCCTTTCTTGCCTTTTTTGGAAAGGCTGGCCTGAGAGGCTGGGGGTGGCTGTCCAGGAAGTGAGCTCGGTTTAGAGCCCCTCTTAGACTAGACCCTAATGTGGGCTGCTCCGTGGAAGCCACCTGCTTTAGGTATCTCTGAATTTCCTTTCTCATATACCATGGTTTCAGTGGGGAAAATACCAGGATGAGTTAGAAGGGAGAGAAATGTTCATGGTTGTAGCATCAGCCAGCTAGCCAAGGCTAATGTCTGGGACTTTGGTTTCTAGCCAGAGAACTGGAAACATACCACTGTTCTGCTAGGAGGCTTCTCAGAGACCAGGTGTCAAGGTCAGCTTAGCTGCTTGGTAGGGGAAGGCATTTAACCCTTAAAGCCTAGGTTTCCTCCAAAAAATGGACAGCAGAAACTGATAGCTTCAGTAGAAGACGCACAGCTTCCCAAGCAGCTGGGAGGCTGAAGCCACCATATGTAGACATCTAGCCCGTGCAGTCACAGGACCATTTACTTTTCCTGAGCCTTGTGTTGCACAGCTGTAGATGGTGTTCAATACAGAGGTTTAAAAGCCTTCCCAATCAGCTGGGGGGAGAGGGATCAATCTCTTGTTGCACTGAACGCTGTTAACCAAGTGGGCCATGAAGAGACTTTCAAAGTCCCTAATGGGTTTTATTTGGGAAGTTTTCACTGCAATCAGGCCCAACTGTAACCTCCCACCACAGTGCCTCAGGCTGAACAAGAGTACCCCCTTACAGATGAGGCAACTGAGGCTCAGGGGCTGAAGGCGCACGCCCGGGGGCAGAGCAGATTGGGGGGTCTGGAGCCGAGCCCAGGTCTGTGTGACCTCAAATGCCTGACCCTTTCCTTGGTGCAGTCCAGTCTAGCTGTTTGTGGTTTTGACACACACAGGAGTTACAGGGGAAAGATTTAAAAACCAAAAATGCATCTGGTGTCCAGAATCTATGAAGAACTCTTACAACTCAACAACATAATTTAAAAATAAAGGACTTAGACATTTTCCCGAGGAATATATACAAATGGCCAGCAAGCACATAAAAATATGATCAACATCATTAGTTATTAGGAAAATGCAAATCAAAACCACAGCGAGGACTGGCCAGTTAGCTTAGTCAGGACAACGTGATGCTGATAACACCAAGATCAAGCGTTCAGATCCCCTTACTGGCCAGCCACCGAAAAACCCCACGAGATGTCACTTCACACCCACTAAGTTGGCTAGAATACAAAAAAAGGAAACAAGTGCTGAAGAGGATGTGGAGGAAAAGTAACCCTCATGAGTTGCTGGTGAGAACACAAAATGGCAGGGCCGGCCCTTGGCTCACTCGGGAGTGCGGTGCTGATAACACCAAGGCTGCAGGTTGGGATCCCTATATAGGGATGGCCGGTTAGCTCACTTGGGAGAGCGTGGTGCCAACAACAAGTCAAGGGTTAAGACCCCCTTACCGGTCATCTTTAAAAAAAAAAAAAAAAAAAAAAAAATTATACGAATCTTCCCATTAACACTTTGAAGGGCACTCATAGTGCAGTACTCTACTGAAGAAAAGGACTATAAAGAACAGCAGTGCGTCCTTAACATGGTGAAATATCCAGTCGGTACCGGAGTTTCCGGCTGTCTGAAGAATGCCCGCGCACGTCTCACTTGCCTCAGTTTCATCACCTGTGCACGGAGCATCTCCACGCAAGGGCGACACGTGAGACGGACCGTGCAGATCGAGTCTCTTCCCCGCCGGCTCCCCTCCAGTTCCTTAAAAAGTTAAAACATGGAAGTACCACATGACCCAGCAACCCCACTCCTAGGCATATACCCCAAATAACTGAAAACAGATAATTGCTCAAATACTTGTACAGAAATGTTCACAGCACTACTCACAATAAAGAAAAGGTGGAAACCCAAACGTCCACAACAGAATAACGGATAAACATAATGTGGTATATACATAGAACAGAACACCTCAGCCATAAAATGAAGTGCTGATCCGTGCTGCAATGTGGATAAGCCTTGCAAGCATTATGCTAAGTAAAAGAAGCCGGATACAGATCACATATTGTATGATTTCATTTATACAAAATATCCAGAATAGGTAAACCCAGAGACAAAAAGTAGATTGGTGGTTTCCAGGGGCTGGGAGGAGGGGGGAAAAAACAGATTCACAGCCATAACCCACACTCACTAAGATGTGTCAGGAACAATTCCAGGAATCCACATCTGTAAAAACCCTCCCCTCTGACGCCCAACCAGGGCACAGAGCCATTGGTCTAGCTGAAGAGTATGAGCCAGCAGTTCCCAGACCTGAGAACCGTTCGTTTCTTCACCAACCACTAATGTAACTGGGCAATCCACACCCCAGTTCCATTTATTTTCTAAACTATAAAATGAAGCCAGCACAGCTGTACACTATTCACAAGTGTTTGTGAAGGCAAACAAGGAATGTGGCCACATCTGGGAAGTCCAGGAGGTGCAAAGTTAGTGTTCTGAGTCTTGCATCAGGCATCTTCTCTGCTCCGAGGGACATGCTGTGGGGTGGGTAGAAGTTTGGCACAGTGCTCACCACGTGGACAGGAACGAAGGACTGGGGCTGGGAAGGGGACTGCAAGGGGCCATGGACAGTGAGAGCGCCCCGAGAGCTCCCTCTTGCACTGGCTGGCACCTGTGCCCCCTGCTCCTGCAAACGTCCCCCAGACACCTCACTATCACTCATCAGAATAAAAGGGGTTGAATTCTTTATTAAGGCACATGAGCTATGGGTGTCCTGGGTTCTAGCTGAAGAGAGAATGGAGATGCTTCTGCAGATAGTGTTAAAACAAGAGCCACTTCTTTGCGTGACATCCTCCTTCTCAGAATGGCGGTGGAGTGAAGCCCCATCCAGGCTGCCCAGTGCCAGTGCCAGCTCCACGCCCAGGGGCTTTCTGGTGGTGAAGGAAGCTCTGGTTGCTTCTTGGTTTGCAACACTGTAGGCTACGGCTGGGGACCATGCCAACGCCTGTTAAATCTGCTCATTGCTAACAGCAACCATCCTTATAGGGCACAGGGCCACTGTCCAGCAGAGCTGGCCTTCTGCTGTTTAACACAGGAAGGCCTGACTCCAACAGCCAACACTTTCCTCCAAGTTTCCAGGACAGCAAATGGCCACCAGGTCCTAGTTCATTCATTTCCAGGTATGAGAAAGTGGCCATCTCTACCCTCCCCATTCTCATCTGTTCTGAGGACAGAAGGGACGGGTGTGTCCAGGCTGGTGGCAAAGGCTGCATTTCCGGGGTTTCTTTGCTGTGGACCCCATGTCTGAGGAACTGGCTCGGGGTCTTTTGCTTCTGGCCTCTGCCCCCTGGATTTTTCCTCTGCCTCCTGGCCAGGGTGGGGCTCCAAATGTCCCTGTGGGAAGTCGGGGGAAGGCTGTTTAGAACTGACACAGTTAAGTGGCAAGTATAGGTTACAGTGATGGGCAGAGGGTGTCCCAACTTTTAGTCATGCCCACCCCATGGGTCAGGCTCCCCTCCCTCTGGAGGATGACTCCACATCAAATGTGACATGTCCCCTACCTCTTGCTAAAGAATCCTAAGCTCTAGGAGACACTGTCCTGGTAAGGGACTACTGGTGTCACTTTGCCCTTTTTACAGAGGCAGAAACCCAAGCCAGCAGCTGGCCTGTGGTGAGGTGTGAAGATGAGCAGCCCGTGTCCAGCAACCTGCTTCCACCTCCCATGCGAAGAAACCCATGCTCTGGATCCCTCTGCTCCCTAACCATGCCTCTTGGTACTGGCTGCCCGATTATCCAGGACAATTGATCAGGTGGCCTAGGTCAGATACCACTTCTTTCCAACTGGGGAAACATGTGGCCCTGGCAAGTCTGAAGAACGTGCAAAGCCAGACTGCTCACCCCACACTTCAAATGTGGGTCGGTCCCAGCAGTGCCATCTCTGGGCCCCTCTAACACTGGGAGCCAACTCCAAGTCCTACATTTTTTTTTTTTTAAAGGATGACTGGTAATGGGCTCTTAACCCTTGACTTGGTGTTGTCAGCACCACGCTCAGCCAGTGAGCCAACCGGCCATCTCTATATAGGATCCAAACCCGTAGCCTTGGTGTTATCAGCACCACTCTCCTGAGCGAGCCACAGGCTGGCCCTAAAGTCCTACACTTCTTGCCAAGTGTCCCAGGTTATTCTCGTACATGCAGAGCTGGTGATGTGTGTGTTAGAATAACAGTCTGGGACTAACTCCTTTAAAAAACAGGAGCCCTGTTTTCAATTTCAGGAGGAAATTGAGGCAGAAAGGCTAACTCGTTTGTTCAAGGTTACACAGCTGGGCTTTGAAACCAGATCTACACAACTCCAAAGCTCCCATTAGGCCTCTCGGTCATTCTCAGATATTTAATTAAGCTCTGCTGTGCACTGGAGCAGCAGGGACCATCTCAAAGTGCCTTCACGTACAGCATCCACCTGATCCAATGTCTAGGTGCCAATTCTCACAATACCCATTTCTGGGACACAAGCTCAAGCTGCATAACCCTGAGCAGGTTCCTAGACATCATCAGGGTCAGTGTGTTCACCTGAAGAAACGACGGTGATGCTAATGATCTCGCAAGGGTTACAAGGCTATGAGGAGCACAGGGCTATGAGATCAGGCAGACCTATGTTCAAGTCTTGGACTCTGTCACTGTGTGACCCTGAGCAAAGCTTCTTCATTTGTTTGGGCCTCACCTTCCTCATCTGTGAAACCAGGACGGGAATGTTTACATGATGAAGATGAAAGAAGATGCATATCAAGTATATTTAGCATGGTGCCCGGCGCACAGCTAGCTACCCAACTGACGGCAGCTGCCCTTCAATTTGGACCGAAGACTGTGCAGTTCATTGCTTCACTGAAAGGGAGCAAGTGAGGAAACGGAAGGCAGCCCATTGCCGCTCCCGATCCCACCACTACACTCACTGCACGCCTTCTTTCTGCTGCCTGTCTCTGAGGTGGAGACCACCGGGAAAACCTAAGGCAGGAAACCACGTGCCCCTCCTGGCCTCACCTGGGGCCATGTTCTCATCGACCCACTGGAAGAAGCCACACTGCTGCTCTCTTGGCTTGGCGCATGTGTGGAACTGGCGGCCCTTGTTGGGCCCGTCCTTCTGCACGGTCCGTATGATGGTGGGCTGGCTGCACAGGCAGGATGTGCCACCACCACCACCATCACCAGTGCTACCAAATCCACCCAGGTGGCCTCCCGAGCCTGGTGGGCGTCCCTGGGAGCCGCCTGGGGGTCTTGACGCTGAGGTGGCAGGCCCTCCCGCTCCGGGATGGCTGCTGTTGGCCCACAGGAAGAAGTTGCAGCTGCCACCACTGCACTTATAGAACTGCCGGCCCTGGTTGGGTCCCTCCTTACGGACGGTGAGCAGCACGGCCTCCTGGCCACAGTTGCAGGTCACGGAGTTGCTTTCACCAGCAGTAGTGGGTGGTAGGAGGGTCCGGGCCACAGCCTTAGAGGGCCCAGTCTGTCTGCTGTCAGGATGCAGGGAGTGGCTGTGATGGCTGCTGTCCATCCTGTTGAAGGACTGGCTAGCCTGCAGGTGGCCAGAGGGCTGGCTGGCAGGCTGACAAGCTCTAGGGGGACCCCGAGAAACTCTCAGGTCCAGGATCTCCCTCAGGGTCTCATCACATCCGCCGATGCAGCCAACAAACTCCAGAGGCATGGCTGGGGGAAGGCTACCACGCTTAAACTTTAACTTCAACCTAGTGAGGCCAGAAGATGAGAAAAAACATGAACAACCAGGTGCCAGCATCTTCTCCTTGGCCTACAGAGGGCTTATGAGCCCAGGCCTCCCTCACTGTCCCTCGTGCCCCAGGAGACCCATGCAAAGCACCTATAAGGCCCCCAAACTTCCCCCCAGATTCCCCTCCAGTTGTCACAGGAGTGCAGAGTGGGAAGCAGTACAGAAGAAATCTAAGACCCCAGTTAATATCCAAATATACAAACACCTCTGAAAGGCCCCATTTCTCTATACCAGCAGCTCTCTGAATGTGGTTCCGGGGCCTTTGGAGGTTCCTGGGCACTTTCAAGGTGAGGTCAAAACTATTTTATAATAATGCTAAAAAGCTACATCTATTTTGCTCTCATTCTTCCGTGTGCATTCACTGGAGTTTTCCAGAGATTAGAACACATGCAAAAACCCAACAGACTGAAAGGAGAAGCAGATATGGAAATCAGTTTTCTTTTTTTTTTCCTTTTTGTCTTTTTTACTGACCGGTAACGGGATTGCAACCCTCGGTGTTGCACCCACACCGCACTCAGCCAGTGAGCGGGAACCGGTCTCCACGTGGGATCCGAACCCTCGGTGGGAGCGCCGCCGCGCTCCCAAGTGGCGCACTCTCCAGTGCGCCACTGGGCCGGCCCTGGAAATCTGTTTTCTATTAAGTCAGACATTAGTCTTGCAAAAATGTTAAACAATGTCATTCTCTTCATTATTATTATTTTTGCTTTGGAAAACAGGTATTTTATACTTAAAAAAACGTTATTTATGTTAGGATGCAATGCACTTAGTATAAATGAATTATTAAATATCATAAAAGATGTTTCCACTTTAATTTCAAATATGGTCTATATTGATAAACAACCCACAACAAAAGCTCTTGGGCTGTTTAATGATTTTTCAGAGTGTGAGGGGTCTGGTGACCAAGAGGTTTGAGAACCACTGGCCAGCACGGGGGCTCCAGGCTTGTAAGAGGGGCTTGGATGCCTTATTTAATACATGAATAATTTCCTGAGCACAATGCAGCAATGATCTATCTGCAGAGGTCAGGGAAAGGGCAGCTTTGTGGTTCCTCATGATACAGGAGGCCTCTTCCTTGGATGCCTGGAGCTCACTCCATTCTGGGCTTCCATCCCTGCCATGGCAGTGACAGCCACCAAACACAGCAGAACCGGATCAGGCTTGCTGTCCTGGCTGCTGCGAAGCGCAGCTAAAATCCCACAGTGCCTAAGAACAGATTTCAGGATAGTCTCCTCTGGGTTCCAGCAGGAGGAAGGGAAAGCTGCATGTTTCAGCACACACGTGTCGAGGGCATACCTGACTCTGGTGCCCAGCTCACCTGTACACAGGCTGCGGATGACACAACGGACACACACTCTCATCCCTGCTGGCCTCCAGCACTGAGTCGGGAAACCACATGGCCGATCGACATTCTGGGAAACCCATGCAGCTGAGGTAGAACCTGGGGAGACCATGGGGAATATGGGAGACATGCTTAGGCTGTCACTGTCTGCCAGGGAAACTTTTAGCTGATTGAAGAGGACATTCATGTTTCTGGAGGACACTTAATTGGATACAGTCACTGATACTGAATGACTTAGAGAAACGTATTTCCCACATCCCTAAACAATGACGCAGCTATTGCCGAGCCTGCTTTAATGCAAGCACTATGTGCCTTGTGCTGCACGTCCTCACACATTCTCACGTTTCTTCCTCATGACAATCCTGAGTGGTGCAGTAGCACCCTCAGTTTGCATGAGAGTAAACTGAGGCTTGGAGCATTCTGGAAACCTGCCCAGGGACATGCATGTAGTTAGCTGGAGCTAGGACTGGAAACCCATCCGTCTGATGGAAGAGCCTTTATTCCCAACATCTATGCTACTTGTCTTTCTTGGCCAACGTTTCTTGACACCTTCTACTTACAAAGCTTTAGGGTTTGATTAGCCAACACGCATATGGATTTACAAATTCTTTTGAGAGTGTCTGGGTACGACTAGGCAGGAAAAAACCCAACCCTAAACCCCAATTATTTAAGCAGAAAATTCACAAACTCAGAAATAGAAATTATCAGATAAACTCTGGATGTGGTAAATCCCATAAGAGAATCTCCAGACCGCCCTGGGTGCTCTGAGAAGCATTCCTTTGTCATCAAGAACTTGGAGAATTCAAAGCTAAAACAAAAGTATTCTCTCCCCTTAGATTCCAGCGGTTACTAATCTAGTTACCTAGTGGTGGCAAAGAAAAAAACCCATCGATAGCATTTATTAAGCACTAAACTACTTGCCCCAGGTACTGGGCTAAGCCTTGAGCGGCACTGGCTTCCATATCTGTGGGTAACACAAGCCCTGCCCCTTGCTTCCAGCTGTGGCCTACTGACCTCTGGTTTCTGAGAGTCGAGTGACCTTTTCTCCACCAGGCCAGCCAGGCTGGTGGTGGAGTTTGGGAAACCACAATAGTCATTCAGCAGCAGGAGGCAGCACAAAGCTGCAGCCTGAGGCAGGCCGGGTAGAATGGAGAAAGATTGAGAAGACCTGGGTTCAGCTTCTGCCTTCACTGCTCACTATGGCTGCCTGACTCTTAACAAGCCCCTCAGCCCTCTAAGCCTGTTTTCACTCTTTAGAATATTGGGGGCCGGCCCGGTGGCGCACTGGAGAGTGCGCTGCTTGGGAGTGTGGCGGTGCTCCCGCCAAGGGTTCGGATCCCATGTGGAGACCGGTTCCCGCTCACTGGCTGAGCGCGGTGCGGGCGCAACACCGAGGGTTGCAATCCCGTTACTGGTCAGTAAAAAAAAAAGATAAAGAAAAAAAAGGAAAAAAAAAAAAAAAGAATATTGGAGGGTGGCACAAAGACCGAACAAGACTGTTTATGGAACACCTCGCATCGTGCCAGCCAGCAGGATGGCAGGCGATTGGCACTGTGGCCACCACTCCTCAGCGCTTCTTTCCCCAAACTTCCTCCAGTGGCCAGCTGCTAGCTCAGAGAACTAGGCCAGATGTGCAACCTGACCCTGGGGGTAAACTGCCCAGTCTGATCTACTGCCCTGAAAATAAAAAGGGAGTTTTTCAGGCCCAGCTGAGAACTAAAACCAGGGGAGAAGAAATGTAGTATTTGTTGAGTTATCTACAGTGTATCAGGCAATGTGCTATATAGTCTTGATGCTTTCATCAGATCCTTACCCTTAACACAGCTCATGAGGTAGACACCATTGATCTTATTTTATGGAAGAAATTGGGGCTCAGAGTAGTTAAGTAACTTGCTTTGCGTCACATAGCTTATATGTGGCAGAACTGGGATTGGAACTCAGACCCATTTGGATCTGAAGCTCATGCTCCTGCAATCGTCATGCATTGGGTAAATACTGTTCTACCCACAGGGGACAAAACCCCCAATATGACTCAGTCCTCGCCTGTTCTGAATTCCCACAGCACTTCCCACCTCAAAGGCCAGACCCCACCCTGCTATCCTTCTAGCTCCAACAGCTTGTCTACTGGTTGGCAGCAGCAGGACTGCCTTTAAGCAATTACATGGAAATGGAATGACAGGGCATTTCAGAGAGCTGTGTGGCCAACACAGTGGGTGCCAGGGCCAGCAGAGGTGGGGCACTGACCCGCCACTCTTCTTGGTCTTGAGGACCATGTCCTTGTTGCACTGTGGGCACTTCTTGATGGGCTCTGGCATGGTTGGGTAGATCTCTTCTTGCTGGCCTACTTCTGCCCCTTCCCCGAAATACTGTGACAAGGCCTCGTCCAATCTGAAGAAAAGGCAAAGACACACACCAGCCAGCAATCACTGCAAATGCATTTACAACACTGTTGTGTGTACACAACATGCATGACCCAGGGAGCCAGCTGGGCAGTGAGCCACTGGCCTGATGAACAGAACAGGGGACAGAGAGAGGACTCACAAACAGGCCCTGGCTCCTCTCTGACTCCTGGTCAGCTCCTGGGAGGAATCAGCTACGGGCAGACACTTCTGCCTTGTCACTGGCCCCACGTTAAATAAATAAAACTGCACAGGGTCCATGCATAAACTCCTGAAGTGTCTGTCTACATTTAAGTTTAAACTAGGTCACATACTTCTTTTGAAAATTGGCATGATATGGTCTGAAGGATAGGAAAAAACAAACCTACTATACTCTCACAACACACTTCTGACAGCAGATGTGTAGGAGTTTTCCCCCCACACACCAAGAAGTTCTCCAGTGGACAACACTTCAGTATCCTCTAATTCAATTCAATTCTGACACTATCTACCTAGAGATAAATCCCACAGGTGCCAGTCCCACAAGACTGCCCCACTTCAGATGTCAGTTGCAAATTCCAGGTTGTGGCATGTGCTTCTGACTGACCAGCTATAAATCAGAGTTCCAATGACCCCCTCTTTGGGTTTGATTAATTTGCTAGAGCAGCTCACAGAACTCAGGGAAACACTTTACTTATGTTTACCCTTTTATTATGAAGGATCTTACAAAGCATACAGATGAACAGCCAGATAGAAGAGATGCACAGGGTGAGCTACAGGAGAAGGGGCGTGGAGTTTCCATAACCCCTCTGGGTACCACCCTCCAGTGACCCCCACGTGTTCAACTATAAGGAAGCTCTCTGTTCTAAGTTTTTGTGGAGGGTTCATTATTTAGGCATGACTGATTAAATCATTGGCCATTGGTGATCAACTCAACCTTCAGCCTTTCTCCCCTCCCCAGAATTGGGGGTTGGGAGGGGTGGGACTGAAAGTTCCAACCCTGTAATCACATGGTTGGTTCCCCTGGCAACCAGCCCCCATCCTGAGGCTATTCAGAGCCCTCAGCCTCCAATCATCTTATTACTATACAAAAGACATATAACTTTGGTGACTCTAAGAGTTTTAGGAGCTGTGTGCCAGGAAACAAAGACCAAATATATATGTATCTTATAAATTACAATATCATAGAAGACACGTTTCTAACAAAATGCACACATGCTGCTTGCTAAACGATCACCTCCAAATGCTCCAGAGAACAAACAGATCCTACACCAGCACTTGGGTTTACCAACTTAAAAGACTCTGCTGCCTAATTCAAGACAGAATTAAAATCAAGAGAATGGCATATCCCAGATAAGTGGAGTAGATCATTCTGATTATTGCTTCTACACTGACAAAACTCTATGGAAAGAAAGAACTTAAACTCAGCAGAGGAAAACCCAAAGGGGAGGAGCTGTGTGTGGAGAACGCCCCCCACAGGTAATGAGGCCACTGGTGAAGATGAACCTGGCAGGGTTAACAACCCAAAGGGTACAGCTTATGAGGAGCTACCTTACCTCAATTCTGTTGAATCACTCCCAAGAGCCCCCACTTCTTATACTGGGAAATGGCATTGCCCTGACCCTGGAGCTAAAGGATCTCCTGGGCAGGAGAACAGGCTCTGGCACTCACTTCTTTGCTTTAGCCAGTGCTTCAATGAAAACCTGCTTGTATTTCTGCACTTGCTGCCTTAGCACCACAAACTTGTCCTTCTTGCCCTCACAGATCAGCTTCAGATCAGCTTCCAGCTCAGCCCGGAGGTCAGGCTTGGACATCTCATAGCCCATGGAATCATAACCTGCAGGGAAAGACTGGTGAGCCGTGATGCCCCACATGACACCCTTGGGGACTTCGGCAACAAGGCTGCCCTGCTATCCACTGAACTCCCCCCCTCTCTTTACCTTCCACAAGTCCCATGCCCAGGTGCCCCGGGAGGAACCGCTTGTCTGGGGTGAGCCCAACGTACATCCGGGATTTGATGGTCTCAATGTGCTCCGCGTGAGTGGCATCAGTACCTGGAAGACATTTCCTGTTACTCTGACACTGCACCCAGAGGGCCCGGGGCTGCCTCCATCACCCTGGGACCCCTCCTCTGCCTGGATGCTACATGCAACTAAGATGCTTCCATTCACATCTGGCTCATACTAGAAATCACAATGGCAATATCAACTCTCCTGCTCCCCTACATCCAATTACCCATCAAAGCTATCAATTCCAGCTTGAAAACTCCTTCTTTAAATCTTTCTCCTCCCCTCCATGTGTCAGAGCCATGGCTGGAGACCAGATTACCACATCTGCATCATTACAACATCCTCAGTCTCCCCATTTCTGGTCTCTTCCTTCACCCAACCCATTCTCTAAGTTGTGCAAAAGGGACCTTTTAAAATGTTGCTCTTGGGGCCGACCCTGTGGCTCACTCGGGAGAGTGTGGCACTGGGAGCACCGAGGCCGCAGGTGTACACACACACACACACACACACACACACACACACACACACACACACACACACTCTCTCTCTCTCTCTCTCTCTCTCTCTCTCTCTCTCTCTCTCTCTCTCTCTCAGGCTGGCCAGTTAGCTCAGCTGGTTAAAGCTTGGTGTTATCACACCAAAGTCAAGGGTTCAGATCCCCATACAGTCCAACAGCCAAAAAAAAAAGTCACTCTGCCATTAGGGAAATGCAAATCGAAACCACAGTGAAATACCACCTCACATCCACTAGCTTGGGTATAGTCAAGAAGATAGATAATTACAAGTGTGGAGAAATAGGAACCCTTGAACATTGCCGGTGGGTATGTAAAATGGTGCTGCCTCAGAAAACAGTTTGGTGGTTCCTCAGAAGTTAAGCATACAGTTGCCATGTAACCCAGCAATCCCACTCGTATGTATATACCCAAGAGAACTGAAAACACACAACCGCACAAACCTTACACACAACTGTTCACAGCAGCATTACTTACAACAGCCCAAAAGTAGAAACAACCCAAATGTCCATCAACTGATGAACAGATAAAGAAAATGTGGTATATCCATACAACGGAATATTATTTGGTAATAAAAAGGGATGAAGTTCTGACACACACTACAATATGGATGAAACTTGAGGACATTATGCCAAGTGAAAGTTACAAAATGCCATATATTATATGATTCTGTTTACAGAAATATATAAAATAGGCAAATCTACTGAGTCATAAAAATTAGTAGTTGTCTGGGCCGGCCCGGTGGCGCACTGGATAGTGCGCCGCTTGGGAAGCGCGGCGGCGCTCCCGTCCAAGGGTTCAGATCCCACATACAGACCGGCTCCCACTCACTGGCTGAGCGAGGCGCGGGAGCAACACTGAGGCTTGCGATGCCGTTGCCGGACACGGAAAAAAGACAAAAGACAAAAAAAAAAAAAAAAAAAAAAAAAAAAAAAAAATA